ACCCTTTGCTCCTTGAAGCTTTGGAGCGGTTGGCCTGTCGCGCCTTCCTCTTTTCCCTTTGAGGCGTGCTCGCTCGCTCGTATCACGGACGAGCGGGGGAAGGGGAGAAGAGGGCAGCCAACTTGGGACGGGCAAAGACTGTAAGTCGGAGACCACGAGCGTACGGAATGGCGTAAATGGAAACTGCTGAAGTCCTGGGTGCGCAACAGAATTTCAAGAAAAATGGTTGCGAACCTGGGGTTGTGGGCAAACTGCGGCTTTACGTAATGAAATACCATCTGAGCGGGCAAGAACTCAGGGGTCTACATGGCGGCCGGCCGAAGCGGTGTGAGGGCCTTGTGGCCCATCTCGGAGCCACCTCGGACTGTCCTCGGGGCGTCTTGGAACTGCCGCTCGCCCGTTTGCACGCTTGGGTGAACGTGGGGAAGGCGCCCTGGAGAGCTGGAATTCGTGGGTGGCCTTGCTGAGGAGCGTCCAGACGATGTCCCCAGGCTGTCATGCAGCCGCCTATGGCCAGTTCGGGAGTCGTCTAGGGCCCTCATGGCGCCTTCCTAAAAAGTGAGGATGCTGAGTTGGCTCGTGTTGGGACCTCCCCTGGCCGCCAGGGCGCCGCCCATGGGCAGTTTGGGGCCGTCCCGGGCCCTCGTGGGGCCGCTTTGGGAGTTCAGGAAGCGCGTTTGGGTTTACTTGGAGCGGTGTTCGGAGCTTTGACAATGTTTTCGGACGCCAAGCAGGCCGAAGGAATGAATGGTAGTAAATCGTACAGCATCATTGCAAGATCAGTGTTTTTCGGGTTCGAGCGAGCCTTGGAGATACCTTTCGGGTCGCCTCAGGGCATCCGACGATGGCCAAAGCTAACTTGGTGCCATTTTGGACCGTCTTCGGCGTGTCTTGGGCCTTCCGCCGACCTCTTGGGATCAGTTTGGGTTCTCGGAAGCCTGGCAAGCCGAATGAGGACATAGCCGAAAAGCATACAAAAACCACATATACATTATCCAAATAGGCTTGCACTGTAGGAGTTCTAACTCAAACCCTACTAATTGGTCTATTGGCCCCCCCAGATTCCTGTGCCCCCCCAATGCCTATGGCTATGGCTATGCCTATGCCTATGCCTACGCCTACGCCTATGCCTATGCATATGCCTATGCCTATGCCTATGCCTATGCCTATGCCTATGCCTCCCCCCTGACTCCTATGCCTACGCCTATGCCTTTGCGTTTGCCTATGCCTATGCCTATGCCTATGCCTATGCCTATGCCTATGCCTATGCCTATGCCTATGCCTATGCCTATGCCTATGCCTATGCCTATGCCTCTGACTATGCCTATGCCTATGCCTATGTCTATGCCTATGCCTATGCCTATGTCTATGTCTATGCCTATGCCTATGCCTATGCCTATGCCTATGCCTATGCCTATGCCCATGCCTATGCCTATGCTTATGCCTATGCCTATGCCTATGCCTATGCCTATGCCTGTGCCTATGCCTATGCCTATGCCTGCGCCTATGCCGATGCTCGCTTGCGCTTGCTTGCTTCCGCTTGCTTGCTTGCGCTTGCTTGATGTTGCTCCTCGCGTCCTGCTCCCGTCCTCCTTTCGTCCTCCTCCCATCCTCCTCTCGTCCTCCTCCTGTCCTCCTATCTATTTGGAGTCAACGCTGGCTGCTGATATCAAGCTTTTTTGAGGGTTTCGAGCGCCTCGTGGAGGTGACATTCGAAGCGCCTTCGAGAATCCAGCAAGGGCCTGGACCGCATGATGCCATCTTAGACTGTGTGTGGCGTCTCTAAAGCATTGCACCACCCGTCGTGGGGTCAGCTTTAGGCGGTCATAGGGGACTCGTATGGGCAACTTGGGGACCGCTTCGGGCGCTCATGGGGCTCAGTCGGGCCGTCTAGGAGCGGTCATCAATGCGTTTCCAACATTCTCGGACGCGTGGAAGGCCGAATTAGCGAGCATCCGAAAATAATCAATGATGTTTTTGGGGTTCGAACGCCTCTTTGGGGTGACATGAGGGTGATCTTCGGGCATCTGGCGGGGGTCAAGGCTAGCTGGATGCCATGCTGGACCGTCTTGGGTGGCTCTTGGGCCTTTCGCCGATCGCTTTGGGACTGCCACCCGCCTGCGTGCACGCCTGGGCAAGGATTTCTGGCCTCCCCCCGTGCCACGGATCCGTGGGGTCCCGTTTCAGCGGGGGGTCGCAACCACCCGTATCAGAAAAATATAGAAAATGTGTATATGAATATGTACATACATACACATACACACACGCATACACACACGCATACATACATACATACATACATACATACATACATACATACATACATACATACATACATACATACATACATACATACATACATACATACATACATGCGTGCATACATACATACATACATACATACTTACATACATACATACATACATACATACATACATACATACACACATACTTACATATACATATACATATACATATACATATACATATACACATACACATACATATACATACATATATACATACATACATGCATACATACATACATACTTACATGCATACATACATACATATACATATACATATACATATACATACATACATATATACATACATACATGCATACATACATACATACATACATGCATGCACGCATGCATACATACATACATACATACATGCATACATGCGTACATGTATACATACATGCATGCATGCATGCATGCATGCATGCATACATACATACATACATACATACATACATGCATGCATGCATGCATGCATGCATACATACGTACATACATACATACCTATATACACAGTTGTATATGCAAACAGATGTATATGCATATGCAATAGATATCAAAAAGAATCGAAAAGTCGTCCCCTGACTATTTTCTTCTATGCTTGAGCATCCCTCTGGCAGAGGGGCACGCCCGACAGAAGGGGAGGAGGAGGGAGAGGAGGCAGGGGGCAGCAGACGCGACCGAGGCGGGCCGGGCACAGACCTGCCCCGGGCAACTCCGCGCTCGCGCCGCCCGCGGCCAGGCAGGACGAGGGCGGGGGCACGCACGCGAGAGAGGGGGGGGGGGCCACGGGCCGTCGAGGCCGCGACCTCCGCCGGGGGACCCCCTGCCCACCCGGAACGACACGCTGAATACATTTCTATACAAATATATATATATACACACATGTATACATGCATGCATGCATGCGTACGTACATACATACATGCATGCATGCATGCATGCGTGCGTGCGTACATACATGCATACATGCATGCATGCATGCATGCATGCATGCATGCATACATACACTCATACACACATACACACATACACACATACACACACACACATACACACATACACACATACGCACATACACACATATACACATACACACATACACACATACACACGCATACATGCATGCATGCATGCATACATACATATAGCTGTATAGATAGCTAGATACTGTTGCTGTTTTTGTATGTTATCTATGTTCTGTAGTCCTTTATTTCCTGGTTCTTCGACACCCCCCTCATCCTGTCTGACCCCTTCTCTATAGCGTGGAGAGCACGGGTCCTGGAGGCAGGGCGCCCCGACGCTCTCCCCCAACCTGGCTGGCCCAGGAGGCGCTGGCAGCGGGCCCCCCAGAGCCGTCGCGCAAAGGCACCCGGGAGGAAGACGAAGAGCAGGCCCCGGTGCAAGTGTGCGATCTGCTGGCTCGGCGGCTGTTACGGTGGAGGTTTTAGACAAGGATGCCTTCGATAAGTTAGGAGGCAACTACTTGGAGGTCCTCGTCGGAAAGATTGAAGAGGATTACGCCCCATTAGGGGGCTGTTACGCCGGAGTGGGCCTCGGATTAAGCAGGATTAAACGGAATTTACTGGGATTGCGCCAGATTAAGCGGGATTCAGCTGGATTAAGCCGGATTTCGGACCAGGGCAAAATCAGAATTTGACCTTCCAGGAGTTGCATCCGAAGATAAGGAACCCAGGGCCTCGCGACCGATGGGCGGCCAAACGTGGGCCACCCACCTCGCCTTGAAACAATGAGGAATGCGCCAGGGTCTGGGCCAAAGGAAGACGTTCATTATCCAATGCCGCCGCCGTATTCCACGTCTTGGCGGCGCGCACAAGGGGGTAGGGGGGAGGGAGGAAGGCTTCTCAGAAGGAGGCTACTTCTCAGAAGGCGCCGGCCCTACATCTGCAGACGAGGCCAGCGCCTTCTGGGAAGCAGGGGCGCATCTCAGAAGCCTTCCCCTGCTCTCCATACCCCGCCCCGCGCGTGGCTCAACGTCGGTGCCCCCCGTACTGGTTTGGCCACCCATACGCCGAAACATGACAGCTCTTGCGGGCATGTCCTGCCGAGGAAGCAACAACGAAGCGTTGCGGCTCGTCTCCCAGGAGGAGCCCCGTGCGGTCGCGAGGACCCGCTCCCCATCGGGACCCCCTTCCGTCATGGCGACTCTTGAGCCTCGCAAGTCTGGGAGGACAACAGAAAACAATACCGCTACAATCAAAAATGTAGTAAGGACGCGCTGCAAGGACGCAAGACCCTTGGACAGTCCGTGGACGCCCCAGTTGAGGCTACTATAGCGGCGCGCTGCCGAACAAATCTAAGGACGCAGGGGTGCCCCTGGGAAAGTTACCAGTCCTCACTATAGACTTTCACTGTACTTCACAAGCCTCACCCAGAGGGCGCTCGGCCGAAGCTCTCGAGGTGAGTCCAGCCGTGGCGACGACGCAGGGGTACCAGTATGCGTACCTCACCTGAGATCCGGCATTGCGCAACAAAAACTGCAGCGCCGCAAAAAATCACGACTGGAGCACCGCACCCCACCTTTCTGCCCCAGCTTCCGAGCCGGCTCGAGATCTGTGAGGGCCCTGTGGGGCCCGAAGTTGGGCGAGCAGACGCTCCTTGCGAAAAACTCACGGCGCCAAGGCCTCTGGGCTGAAGTCGGCGCTCGCGCCGCCCTCGCCTGGGCCCCCCCTCCCCGGATGACGGTGTCGTGGCCGTCGATCTCGGCCCCCCGCCGCTGGCCGCTCAGCGCGCTGCCCGACCCCACGAGCGCGCAGCGGTCCAGAAGGGCGGGAAGCGCCACCAGGCGCCCGACCCCGCCGAAGCCGGTGATCGCCTCGGGCGCCGAGCCTGCGGCCGCGCGCGGCTGGAACGGCCCCGCTGTCCTGAGATCCTGGCGTTGCGCTCTATTCACAGCGGGCGCTTGCGCCCGGTGTTTCGGGCCCCGGGACCCCGACAGATGGGCACGGCTCGAGAGATCGAGCAGGGAGATGGGGTCCAGGGCTCCGGTCGTGATTTTGTTCACGGTGTTGCATCTGTTTCGCAGCGTCGGATCTCAAGCTAGCTGCTTGCTGCGTTTCGCTTGGTAGGGTTTCGGGCTGCGCGCAGACAGCCCCCCTCAGGTAAACCTGGCTGGCCTCGACAGCGCCCCCAGGTAGTCTCGGCTGACCTCAACAGGCCCCGCGAGTAGTCTGCGGCGGTCTCAACACCGTGGCGGCGCCTCCAGCGGCGCCCCTGGGGCGCTCCGCGCCCCAGGGTTGAGGTGTTGAGACCACCCCAGACTACTCGGGGGGCCTGTTGAGGCCAGCGGCGGGGCTGCCTGCGCGCAGCCCGAGGCCCCGCCAGCTCCGTTCGGCAGATGTGCGATCCTGTTGTGAGGCTGCTGGTGGACATTCGGGCCTCGGGCCGGGGTGTCTTCCAGCGGCTGCGCCTCGTCGAGGGCGTTCCGGGGAGGCCAGAAGTGCCCCGAACGGCACGCTGAGGCCGGAGCGGCGGCCCGAACACTGGCCGGAGGCAGGAGGAATACAAGTACACCCCGACGCCCAGGCAACGTGAAGAAGCCACGACGAGCGCTTCTGCCCCGCTTCGGGCCCTGGGGCCCTAATGGATCGGCCCGCGCCGAACGCTCGGGGGCGTGACGCTTTCACTGCGTGCCCCGAGATCTGGCAGCTCCGACTTTCTCACCCGCGTTGCTGGTGGAGGCAAAGGGCGGGAACACGAGGGCTTGGGGCACCTCCAGGCCCCCGATCCGGCCGAGATCGGCCGCTCTCCCAAAGCGCCGACTGCAGCGTCCCCAGAAGGAGCGAAGTCTGCCGACGTTCCGGCCAGCGCCCATATGAAACGCAGTAGGATCAGGTCGGGCATGTCCTCCTACAGAACGAGTTTCGACGCAAGCTAGAAACAACGTCGAACAGAATACTCAGAATGATTGTTAAACATTCGTCCCCAGACTAGTTTGGGACTACTTCTAAGTGTTCCTCCTGTAGAGGGACATGCCCGGCTTAACAGTAGGGAGCAGTGGCAGGCCCATGAAGGCGCAGGAAGCCGCCCAGAGCAAGCCGATGCCCGTGCGGGCTCAGCATGTGATGAGATTGTTTGCACCAGGTGGAGGGAAGAATGCCAGAAGCACGTGGGCCCGAAAACGAGGGCTCAAGCCCGACTCCAAAAGAATGTCAGTAGCCGGAGGAGGAGGAGGAGGAGGAGGAGGAGGAGGAGGAGCCGGAGGAGGAGGAGGAGGAGGAGGAGGAGGAGGAGGAGGAGGAGGAGGAGGAGGAGGAGCAGGAGGGGCGAGGAGGAGGGGCGAGGAGGAGGGGCGAGGAGGAGGAGGAGGAGGAGGAGGAGGAGGAGGAGGAGGAGGAGGAGGAGGAGGAGGAGGAGGAGGAGGAGAAGAGGGGGCAGGGAGAGCAGACAGGAGGGAAGGAGGCACGAGAGGGCCGGAGAACAGGGGGGCGGGGAGAGCAGACCAGGAGGGAAGGAGGCACAAAAGGGCAGGCAACTGGTGCACGTGCACCTCTCGCCAATGTGCAGGGCAGATTTTAAGACACAGGATTTAAGACATGAAGGGCTTGTAATACATGATTAAGGTGTGCAAAAGTTTATGCATGAACTCATCGTTGTTTTTCTCATTCTGAGTCCCTGCATGTCGAATACATGATCCGCACGCGGAGCATGTATTAAAAACGGCACTGCCGCCTCGCTACGAGACCTCCCTTGAGACAACCAGACAATTAGCCCACACGAGCGCGGAGATAGGTGGCGAGAGCGTGAAGGGGTTTGTACAGCATGGAAGGGTCCAGAATGGAACGTGTGTTTTTTTGCTCGGAGGCGAAGATATCTGAAGCCTGGGGTGAAAGCCAAGCAGCAGAGCGCGAGAAGAAACAAAGCGGCGCGCCTCAAAAAAGGGCAGCGGGAACCGATGCGTCGTGAGGCTGCCGCGGGGAGTGTGGTTTCTCATAGGCGCTAATGTGCACAAGCAAGGTCATGAAAATCAATTCACAGTCGGTCGGCTACACTCTCGGGCCCCCCCGCCGCCATGGCTGGACGGGCGAGCCGAGCTTGGAACCTGTCGGGTCCGCCGAAGGGGCGGAAAGGCCCGGAGCGAACTAGTACGTAGCTGTCCGGGAGACCAGAGCTCGAGGGCCCGGCAGACAGCGAACGCCTCGGGCGCCCTCCAGCCCCTCTCCTCGCCGCTGCTGGCAGGGCCGTGCAGAAGTGACCGACCAGGCGGGTCGAGCGCGGCGGCCCGCAGCGCCCTCACGAGACGCCGAAGCGGGTGTCGGGCTGAGCCACCCACACCCTGGAGCCACTGCTCCACGATTGCCACTGGGCCGCCCCGCCCAGCGGAAGGTCGCCAGGGCCCACTGGGCCAGTGCACAGCAGCCCCTTCGTCAGGCCGCTGGCCACGAACTCCTTGTCGCCGACCCACCAGCAGCCGTCCGCCCCCAAGTAGACCCAGCGCTCCTGGTTGATCTGGTGCATGAAGCGGGGCGGGCCATCCTCCTCGCCCTCCTCGGCGATGTAGTCGTACAGGCCGTCGTAGCCCAGGTCCTCCGGCGAGCCGGTCAGGGACATCACAGGGTTCGCGGCGGCCTGCTCCCGCGTAGCGCGCCAGGCCGCCGCCACGGCCTGCGAGGTGCAGAAGCGGAGGGCGGGGGCGCGCGACCACTCCTGCGGCCCCCTCTCGAGCCAGGCGACGCAAGGGTCGTCGGGCAGCGTGCCCGGCTCCACGGACTGGAGGCTGCGGACGCTGCCCTCCTTGAGCCTGCCGCCCTCCCCCGAGGTGCCGAGCCACCAGTGCCCGTCCTCCCCCACGAAGAGCACCGTGCTGTCGTCCTTGCTGCGCCGGTACACCGGGGGGTGGCCGCTCTCGCCCGCCTCCGGGGAGAAGGCCCCGAACAGCTCGGAGCTGCCCCACAGCTCCAGCGGGCCCGTCTTGCGGGCCGCCTCCGCCCAGCAATCGCAGGCGCGCAGCCCGTCCACCCGCTGGATCCGCACTGGTCGGTTCACCCAGGCGTTGTCCACGGAGACGGCGAAGGTCGTATCGGCTGTGGGGACTTCGCCGGGCTGGATGGGCGCGGAAGTGTGCCCGATGCCGTGGGGGGCCCTGCTGTTCTTGTCGCTGGTGCTGCCGATCCACCATCGCTGGTCCGTGCCGAGGAACATCCACACGTTGCGCAGCCTTTGGTGCTGGAAGACTGGGGGCTCGCCCTTGCTGCTCTGCGCAGGCACGAAGTCGAACAAGCCGTCGGCAAAGCTTTCGCTCACGCCCGACACCCTGATGACCGGGCCGTTGCCCAGGTCGACCCTGGCCTTCTGCCACTCCAGCCGCACCGTCTCTGTCAGCCAGAACTTCATGGTCTCCTTCGGCACAAAATCCGCGCCAACCAAGACCTCCCAGCCTGGTCCCGTCATGTGCGGGAGCACGCCGGGCTCGACCGACATGGCGCTGCGGAGGTACCCCTTCTGATGCTTCTGCTCCCGAGCCTCCTTGGACTCCAGGTTGCCCAGGAGCCAGGAGCCCTTCATCGAGACGTACAGGTACTTGTCGGGGTCCGTCGCGCTCTGGTAGGTCGCTGGCCCCGTGCGCTTCTGCTCGTCCGCGGGAGGCACGTAGCTGTAGGCGCCACTGACGTGCTTGTCCCCGCTGCCCCACGCCTCGATGCGGGGGGCCTTCCTCGCGACGCCGTGGGCGAACTGCCACTTCTGCGCGGCGGTGGACTTCGCGGGCCGCGACTTGAGCTCGTTGGCCACGCCCTGGACAGCGGCCTCCAGCTCCTCGAGCTCCCGCAGCATGTCCCGCTGCGACTTCATCCTGCTGGCGACGGCCCGCTCCAACGCCGCCGCGGCGGGGGGCGAGCGCTCCGCTCTCTGGCCGCCTGGCGCGACCGTGGCGTCCGACGTGGCCCGGGACGTGCGCGACAGCTCCGCCGCCGCCGCGGAAGCGAGCGAGCGCTCCGCGGCATGGCTGGCGGGCGTGGCCGCGGCGCGGGACCCGCCGTCCGACGTGGCGTGGGAGGCGCGCGACATCGGGAGGCGCAGGCTCTCCGAGCGGGGGCAGCGGCCTCGCGGAGCTCGGAGCTCCTCCTGCTCGGGCAGGGAGCGCCTCTCGGTCAGGGCGGGATGCTCGAGCCAAGGGGCCAGAATGGAACGTGCCACAGCTGGTGGCAGTAAAGTCTCCCAAGAAAGCAAGGCGCCATGTTTGACGGTACTAGCTTCTCATCCTGCCGTGCACCTCCTTCTCCGCCCCCGTATCCCCCCCTACCTCCTGCATCTATTGACTCCCGCATCCTGCCTCATACCCTATCCTTCTCATCCTCATCCTTCTCCTCTTCTCCCTCCTCATCATCATCACCCTCATCATCCTTTATCATTATCACTACCCTTCATCCTCACTCCCACATCTCCGCCCCTCCGTTCCTCAATCCCCCCGTCCCTATGTCCCTAGTTCCATCCATCCCTCCATCCTTGCGTCTCTCCAGCCATGCATCCATCCATCTCCCTCCTCTTTCTCCGTCTCCTCCAACTCATCATCCTAACCATCATCCTGCTGTTCCCACTACTTCTCATTTCCCCTCCTCCTGCAACCCATCCTGCTACCCCGTCTCCCACCCACTCCCCCTCCCTCCCACTCTCCCACTCTCCCTCCCTCCCTCTCTCTCCTCTCCCCTCCTTCTCTCCCTCCCCTCCCAACCCTCTCTCCCTCCCCCCCCTCCCTCCCTAAGACCCCCTCCCTCCCTCTCTGACGGGCTCTATCCATCCATTTCTCCCTCCGTCCATCCAGCCATCTCTCCAAGACGGAGTGAGCCATGACTATAAGTTATAGTCATGGCTCACTCCGTCTTCCTCCCATCCCCTCATCTCCGCTTCTCCTCCTCCTCCTCCTTTCTCCTCCTCTCCTCCTCCTCCTCCTCCTCCTTCCTCTCCTCCTCCTCCTCCTCCTCCTCCCCTCCTCCTCCTCCTCCTCTCCTCCCTCCTCTCCTCCCTCCTCCTCCTCCCTCCTCCTCCTCCTTCCTCGCCTTCCTCCTCCTCCTCCTCCTCCTCCTCCTCCTCCTCCTCCTCCTCCTCCTCCTCCTCCTCCTCCTCCTCCTCCTCCTCCTCCTCCTCCTCCTCCTCCTCTGGCTCCTCCTCGCCCCTCCTCCTCGCCCCTCCTGCTCCTCCTCCTCCTTCTCCTGCTCCTCCTCCTAAGGCATTTGGTTATACATATTCTATGTTGCTACACTGGTTCGCTACTATTGGTTCCGCTTGCTGTCTTGCATGTCTTGCTGGACACCACAAGATTGCGATCAGGAACGCCGCATCCTGACTTTGATTCCAAGATCAGTCAGCATCGAATCGGAAAACCGGATCGAGACGGACTGCGCGTCGAATCGGACCGCATCGGCAGGGAGTCGAAATCGAATCGAATTGGTTGCACCAGGATGCATGCAAGCTGGGCCGCATCGGATCCGCGGGACATCGAAATCGAACGGGATCGGGCCAGTCACAATCCACACCGAATCGGAATCGAATCGAATCGAAATGGATCCCGGATTCCGAACGGCCAGGATGGGCCCCGAGACCACAGGCAGACGGCGGACGGCAAGGTAAAAGCCAGGCCGAAGGCAAGGCGGCGAGGGAGAGTCACCGCGCAGGTCTTCGCCCTTGCGGCGCATCGAAGGCGACCATAGAGGCACACGCAGGTGGCAGGGGCGTGTGCTTGCAAGGAACCCTTCCGAACTCGGTATCGGAATGAGGCAGTGTGCCCGCCCATGACGGTTACTGCAAACATGCCACATAGCTGAGCTACGCTTACTTAGGTCAGGCGGGCATGTCCTCCAACAGGCGGATTTCCGAAGAAAATTGAAAATAATCCAAAAATGCTCAAAATAATCGGAAATACTAGAAAAGTCGCCCCCTGACTACTTTTTGACAACGTTTGAACACTCCTCCTGTGCAGGGACATGCCCGCCTGAAGGCTACGCAGGAATGGCATGAGGGATCGGTGGGAACAGCACCCGCCTCCTCCTCGAGTGGGACCGGGCCCCGCCCCGGCACGAAGAGAGCTCTGCGAGCAGGAGCTGCCCCAGGCGAGAGAGCGGAGGGAGCGCAGGGGCGGAGGGGACAGCCCGCGGGTGCGCGGCCTGCCTGCGCGGGCCCGCGGGCGCTGCCAGAGCTCCTGGCGTCGCGGCTGCCTCACGACGAGTTGTGCTCGCCTCGTCTTCGGGCCCCGGGGCCCTCACGGGTCGCCCCGGCCCGGAGGAGCGGCGCAGAGACGCAGGGTCCAGGGCTGAAGGAGCGGCGCAGAGACGCAGAGCCTGCGAAGAGGAGGAAAGGAGGAGGGAGGGGGAAAGGAGAAGGAGGAGGAGGAGGAGGAGCAGGAGGAGGAGCAGGAGCAGGAGGAGGAGGAGGAGGAGGAGGAGGAGGAGCGGCGCAGAGACGCGGGAGCACGGCACGGCGGGCTGGGGTCGCCGCTCTCGGCCTCGGGTGGCGCCCTCGCCGGGCCACTGGCGGGAACTTCAGGGAACGCCTCGGGAGGAGGCGCGGGTCCTGGGGAATGGGCCGAGACCTCTGGGGGTCGACGATGTGAAAAGATCCAGGACGTCTGGGGTCTGGGTCGCGCGCGTCGCCCGCTTGCGCGGGCTCGGGCATTGCCAGAGGTGATCTCGGACAGGCTTTTGCCCCTGGCTCACGTCGCCCAACAAGTGCAAAGAGGGAAAAGGGGCCTTGGCACTTTGCGGGCAGCGTCGCCCTGCGGCGAGGCTCGACCCTCGAGGCAGTGTGATCCCAGCAAGGTGACCCAAGCTTTTCCAGGGAGGCCCAGATGGCCTGCGGGGCCACAGAATGCCCAGGGGGATGCAAAAAAGGCGACAAGCTGGGGACACCTCGGGCCACGATCACCTCTGGCAGACTCTGGCGGAGCCTTCCCGAGCCACTTTAGAGCCCCTGCGGCCCTCCGGGCCTCGCGAGGGGTCCTCTCGGGGCCACCTGGGCCTCCCTGAAACCCTGGAGACACAGTTTTGGAGGTCGGAAATGAGTATGGCATAAAGGGGTGTTGTGCCAATCGCGGAAACGCAATGTTATCTACGATAGAAAACACCGCCTGATTCAGCAGTGGCACCACACCCCTTTACACTACACCCATTTCTTACCTCCAGTGGAGCCAAGGACGCCTTCGACAACGCCCGACCTGCGGGGGGGGGAATCGGACAGCGCTCGCAACGCGGCACGCTGGCGCGGGTGCCTCTCGCAGTGGCAACCGCCGGCGCGGCCGCCGGAAGCACGGCCGCTGGGAGCACGGCCGCCGCCGCCGCCGGCGAGTCTTCGGCGTGCGCGGCGCCGGTGGCGGCCAGCGCGGCTGCCGTCGCCGCGGCCGGCCCAACGGCGGCGGCAGCGGCCGCCGGGCCTGGCTGCTGCGCTGCAGAGTCCAGCAGAGCCAGGAGCGCGGCGCCTCAGCGCTGGGAAGGAACCGCTTCGCTGCCACGAAGATTCGATCGGAGGCATGCATTGTTCTTCAACTTTGGAATACACCCCTGCCTAGCTTTAACAAAGTTTTAGACTAAGAAGATGGACTTCACGCCAAGCGTTCAGAGATACGAGAGTTCTAGGGATATCATCCTGTCGAAAGATCCAACCATCTGCAGTGATGGGTGCCGCGGTGTGGGTCCATCTTTCGACA